TCATCATGTGGTGTAGCTCAGAACGGTGTTTGTAAATTAATGTACCCGCGATGTTTTCCATAAGCCACGATATTGACAGGTCGGTGTATACCCATACCCGTGGAGGTGAGGTGCACCTATCGACCCTGCAAATGAGGCCGGAGCTCCACTCTAATGGGGAGCCTCGTTAGTTGATTCAACCCAAAATAGCGTCCGTAAGCGCTGTTCGGCCTCTGGCCTGGTCAATTCTAAAATGTCGTTGTCAATGTTCAACCAATCGGTTGCACCATTACCGACGCCACAAGCCCCTAAGCATCAAACTTCTTTCTTATCAACGAAAATAATCTGACAGCACAAGACCGTTGATTGTATGTGTCCTGGTGTTCTACACGCAGCCATGTCCATATTTCGGATAGACAATAATCCGTTATGAAGGTGATTTTTCTCACAGGGATTGTACCAGACAATGTGATCCGTTCGAGCCTAGTTCGTGGAGATAAATTGATGAGATTGGCCTGTAAAACGTGAATCATACCATACATAAACTTCGTGTCTGTTAAAAAGCTTCGTGGACGGCATAGTTAACCTAAATACCTTCAGGGAAGGCAGGAAATTCATGCAGTAAGTCTGTGTGGAATATCAACCCTGCCAATGAGGCCGGAGCTATACTCCAATGGGGAGCCTCGTCATTTGGTGTAACCCAAGATGGCGTTTGTAAACGCTGTTCTTGACACACTTCACCACAGATAAGTATGTTCAACCAATCAGATTGCACCATTACCGATGCCTCGAGCTCACCGTAAGCATCAAACTTCTTTCTCACCAGCGAAAATAATATCTGACAGCACAAGACCGTTAATGATCGGTCTGTTTCCTGGGCTTCTACACGCAAACCCGTCCAGAAATAAATGAAGCCCGTGCGCCGTAATGGCTCTAGTGACCTTTCACTACAGATAAGTACGTTCAACCAATCGAGTTGCACCATCACCGACGCCTCAAGCTCACCGTAAGCATCAAACTTCTTTTTCACCGGCGCAAATCATATCTGACAGCACAAGACCGTTGATCGGTCTGTTTCCTGGGATTCTACACGCAAACCCGTCCAGAAAGAAATTAAGCCTGTGCCCCGTAATGGCTTTAAGAAGTGACCTTCTGGCGATGGAGCACCTTCTAGCCTTTGTAAGGGTCCAAAACAGATATGAAGCGAAATCGAAGCTGAGGAGGATGAAAAGTAAGAATAGTAATATGTATTGATTATTGTCAATACACTCATCTTGGCAATGTACCCGCGGTGTTTTACATAAACCCCACATCGACGGGTCGGTGTATACCCATACCCGTGGAGGCACGGTGCAACTCGTGTGTTCACAAAAATCCCTGCAAAACGTGACTCACTATCATCAAAATAGGCCGCAACCAATAGTATTTAGGTGTCAGTAACATGTCAAGCTAGATCTGAGAGTTGCGGCAAAGTCCTAGGAGAAGATAACTCAATAGATTACATTGCGGTGGTAGAACAGATAAGAACAAGAAACAAAAGCATAAACGGTAACGAAATATCATGAATGAATTCATGTCAGAATCAAGCGCTGGAAAATGAGATAAAGATGGAAATAATCGACGAAGAGTATGAACAACAGGATCAGACTGCAAGATGCGCAATGGACGTGAAGCTGTCTGTGCGATCCCGGGGTGTATTGCCACGTCCCAGTTCGGTCGCAGCTGTATGCATTGCCGGCGCTGTTACAGTGTAATTCAGTCACGAGTATAGAGCTTCAATAAAGTGTAATATCAGGGAAAGAAAGGACACAAATCAACAAATGCACACCTTGAACACCTCGAAAGTGTCTCCTTACATGCCAGGAGTCCGACGGCCGTCGTCGTTTTGGACCTTCAAAGTTCATGCCAACTTTCTATGGCAATGCGAAGGGCCTCGACATAAAATGCAGAAGGTAGGGATGAAAGACACTGGGCACCATTACTACCCGTCGTACGTTGATGTTGGAGCATAAGGAGGCATCACCGCGACTGTCCTTTGGCGAGCTCTAGTATCAGGTTGAGATATTCGGCTCATCACAGAGCCTCAGAACTAGTGCCCATAACAAGGTAAGTATGCAAAAGTATACGAGGGATCCGTGGAGTGCAGGTCCCAGGAGCCAGAGATCCCAAGATTATGTCAGCGGATATCGATGCCATTGCAAATTTTAGGCAAGTGAATATTGAGTGAATATGCCATAAAAAGGTTTAGAATCTTTAGATCCAAGATAAAGCCAATATCCTTACAGCACATACTAATATGCTACACTAATACTATTGTATACGGCATCAGAGAACCGATGAGAAGAAGATAAGGCAGACAGGGCAGACATGCGGCAGTGCGTGCGTTGCATATCGAAGATAATCAAAGTCAGCTTACAATATCGGTAGCTCACCGGTTGACTGATGCGCGGCCCGTTCTCGCGGTAAGTGGCAGTTATAAGGTCCTCTTTACTAGTGCGTTTGGTGTCTGCCCACACACCGCTCTAACCATGTTTCCTTCAGTTGATGGTCGCCTTGCCATCCTCGCCATCTTACTACCTGCTTCCTTTATTGTCATTACATCGCTCAAGCGGTTCATTAGGAACAGGCAGAACAAACTTCCCCCTGGCCCCGTGCCCCTCCCACTGCTAGGAAATGTCTTGTCTATTAACACCAAGGAGCCTTGGTTGACTTATACCGAATGGGCTGCTGTTTACGGTACGTGGTCAGATAGTACTACTGTGCACATGCGGTACATATCATTGTATTAGGAGACTTGTTTTTCGTGCGACTTCTAGGCCAGGAGATCGTGGTGATCAATTCTCAACACGTTGCGGAAGCCTTGCTGGACAAGCGTTCTCGCATTTACTCTGATAGACCATACATGGCCACAGTCGAGCCGTGCGTTCTTCTAACATTCTTCCATCGAATCATTATGGAATACAGGCAGGTTTGGTTGGTCGGATGCATTTGCATTCGTAGGCTATAACGATGAATGGCGTCTTTGCCGACGACTCTTCCACCAAACTTTCCGTTCCGACTCTGCGCTCAAGTTTCGTCCAATGCAAATCAAGCAGGCTCGTGAGATGATCGTCAACCTCATTGATGATCCTCAGAATTATCATTCTCACTTTGCAACGTCAGTCTATGTGTTTGTAAACATCAAATTATTATTAACCTGTTCATAGATTCTCGTCATCAGTGGCGATGTCAGTGACCTACGGCTACCAAACTAGTCATCGTCATGATCCTCTGGTTCGAATTGTAGAAAATGCAATAGCTATCGGTATTCAGGTGATGACCCCAGAGAGAGCGATCTTGCTCAAAATCTTCCCTTTCTGTAAGTTCAGCTCTTTTCCTCATGAAAATAGCTGACATTCTGTACTCTGCAGTACTGAAGTTACCTGACTGGTGCTGGGGATCCACAATCAAACGCGATGCTCGAACGTCGACCTATCGCATGAGAGAAATGACCGACGTGCCGTTCCAATATGCGCAGGACCATATGGTAGGTATCTTTCGTTTTTAGAAATATTGGTTCTGTCCCAGCTATTAATCACATGATCGTCAAGGTCGAAAACTCGGCACTTGGTCAGCTTTCGATGGTGGCGGAAAATCTTCAACGAATCGAGAAGCAAGATCAGACATCCCGATCATTGTTTGAGGGTGCCTTAAAGAAAGCAGCTACTACTGCTATTATTGGTTCGTCATCTTTTCACAAGAGACGGTATACCTCTCATTGACACATATCTATTCAGGTTCATACGAGTCGGTTAGCGGATGTCCGAACCATATTGTCAACTCCTGAATTTATTTGCAGACTACTTCAGTCTGCATGACTTTTGCTCTCGCCATGGTATTGTATCCAGATATTCAGAGACGCGCACAAGCGGAGATCGACTCGGTGGTTGGCCGGGATCGCTTACCTACCTTTGAAGACAGAACGTCACTACCATATATTGAATCAGTTCTGCGTGAAACTTTGCGATGGCAGCCCATCGCACCCCTTGGTAATCTTTCCTGCTATGTTATCTCGCCTTTGCTGAAGGTGTTTTTGTAGGCACCCCACATGGCACTGCGAGTGATGATACATATGATGGTTATTTTATACCGAAAGGTCTGTTATTCTTATTCATTGAGTACATCATTTGTAATATCGTACATCAGGAACAGTTGTCATGTACAACGTATGGTCAGACAGATGCTCTCTAGTTTTCCAAGTACTGATGCTATATTTATATTGCAGGGGCATTTCACGGGATGAAAAGCGGTACCCCGAAGCATCTCGTTTTATGCCGGAGAGATTCCTAGATGTCAATGGCGCGTTAACGGATGATAACCCTGCTGGATATGTTTTTGGCTTTGGCCGGCGTGCATGCCCAGGTGGGCTGAGTTATTTCATCACCGTATAGAGCTGATTCATTCTTTCAGGCCGATACGCTGCTGATGCCTCTTTATGGTCCGCTATTGTCACTACGTTAGCTACGGTGGAATTTTCTTCTGCCAAAGATGACCAGGGCAAAGTGATCGAATTCAACCCCCAATTCACGACAGGAATCACTCAGTACTTACTTTTTCTCATATCATTTCATCTTCCTGTCACTAACAGTTTCATCGCTTTAGCTCCCCTATGGTCTTCCCTTGCAATATCTCATCACGCTCTCGTGCCCATTCGGAACTTGTGAATGTTCTCCGAACAGAAGTATGAAATGTTATCAGGTGAATGGGCTGTATATGTATATCTTCCTTTCTTGGGCCCACACCGGCAATTTGTCCAACATCTTTTCGTTAGCTCCGTTTCCCGCACGTGGCATGTACGACTTGAAATATGTAGAATGTAGCATGAACTTCAACCACCCGCTTGCACGCGCACGAGTCGCAACTGAGATCTATCAGGTATAGTCTTGTAGGGCAGACTCGATAGATGATTCACTCATTAGTCGATGTCACAGTGCAGTGTGATCGGGGATTGCTCAGACTTATTCCAATCAGACTACGTCGCCTGCAAGGAAACTGCCTCATCATTACTATCAATATCAGCACGATAACAACATAGTAAGTCACAAGCAAGTCACAAGCGCAAAACAGCAAAAGAAAATGACAGACAAAAAAGATAATGACAGTATGCAGATAAAAAGTATATCCAACCCCAGCCAAAGCAACGCGAGAAGTGCAGCACAACAACAAGGTAGATACAACACACAACAGCCTCGAGGGAAATAACAAGTATAAAAAAAGACTAACAAATGAAGCAAAGGAGATAAACACGCCATCTAAAACCCTGTAAACGATCGTAACGCGCCAAACACCCTCCCTGCTAACCCCACCTCCTGAGGTCCAGCACTAGGATCAGCAGGTGGAGGATCAATCTCGTACCCACCTTCTAATACTTCCATCATCCTATCCAATCCCATCTCACTCGCCTTCTTGTCCCCCCAAAACTGCACCAGAAATCGATGTCCAGCAGAAGACACCCGGTACTCGAGGACTTTACATAAGACGAGTTTTCCGAGGGTGCTGCTTGGATCGGGGACGATGAGGAGGAAGGCTTTGTCGATGAGCTGTAGTGGGTTCGTGGCGAAATCGTGGAGACGATCGGGGGTGAGTTGTCTGTGGGGACGACGGGCGAGGGCGGGGGCGATGGGTTCTAGAGACGAAGGGATGTCGCTTTCCTTTGAGAAATCTGGGGCGAGGTCCGTCATCGTACAGGCGTCGCGGAAATCTCGGGTTTTGGTTAGTGGGAAGAGAGCAGGGGCCATGGTGGCATCAAAGTCGAAGTTGCGGTGGCTATCGGACTCGAAGTGTGGGTGGGTGGTACTCGCGCCGTCGCTGCTCCCGCTGTTGGGGTCAGCTTTGGTAAGAATTTCGTGAAAGGTCGTGGAGTAGTAAGATCCCACTGGTGGATTCGTATCGGGGAGGCATAGCAAGAAATCGCCAGGACCTGGGGCTGGGTCAACGGATGGAGGGAAAGATGGTTGGATGCGAGGAGCAAGAAGAGGACCAGGCTCGACACTTGACATGGAGCCATTGTCTTTAGCTGCTTCATTGCGCATCGCCAGCTTTCTTCGAGCACTACCAACATGATTGAATTGATGAAACAATGCAGCAGTTATGTTCGACTCACCGAGAATTACGGGCATTAATTCGCTTCCTCTCTTTCATTCTCTCAGCTTCTAGTTCATCACTAATGGGAATCAATACGTCAGCGAATTAGATTAAAGCAGGGAGCACATACATCTCGCCATTTTTTATTCTTTCCTTCAACCGCTGCCTGTATTTTTTATTTGCCTCGCGATGTCTGTCTGATGTCTTTGGAGCTGTCTGGAAACAAGTTGAACGAATGAATAAGCCAGGATGACTGAGAGAAACTTACCGAGTTATTGCGACTATTCATCATCGCTGAAATCCCTTCTGTATCCACTTCCATTGCATCGCCTGCATAATCAGACTCGATGTCTACGCCAGAAGCCGGAGAAGGTAAAGCTCCTGCTGAGGATGGAGTGGGATATTGAGCCCGAGGTGTCTGTCGGCTGACGATCTGCGACTCAGAAGCCATTGCTAGCGTGCGCTGAACAGGGCGTAGGGTTGTTGATGTAGAGTGTGTCGTGTGCGATGACGAGGAAGGAGGTGTAGGACAGCGTGGAGAAGCGGAAACTGAGGTATTTGCTAATGTTGCAGATTGCGCAGATAGGGCTGATAGAGTTGCTGCATTAGCACTTGCTGTCACAGATGCGGGGAGTTGTATTGTCGATGAGGCACGCGCTACAGCTGCAGGGTCATCGACGTGATTTGGAGGTGGTGGGGGTGGTGGGAAAGTGTAAATAGGTGGAGCAGGTAAGCGGGTGGGTGATACAGGTGTAGTTTTTGGTGCAGTGATAGCTGGCGGCAGCGCAGATGAAGGAGGCTGCGGAGAGGTTGTGGATGTAGGTTGTGATACACTGGATGACGTCGGGGGTGGTGTAAGTACCCGCGGAGTAGGTGCAGGTATGGGGGTGCGTATGGATGAGGTGGGAATAGGAGCATCAGCACCGATATTAATACCAACAGCAGGTGCAGAGGCGGTAAGAGACGATGTAGAAACGTTATTTGCGATAGATAATGTGGTCCCATGTCCTACAAGCGATGCTCTTGGTAGGCGGATTGTCAGTGGTGTACGAACGCGAGGTTGAGCAGTAGTACTGTTAATCGGTTCTGCTGATGCCGCTGCGGGTCCCTTGGAACGCGTATACGGTGTAGCACGAGTTGGCGAAGAAGTAGTGGCCGGTGCAGGAGATGACGATGGAATGTCATGGGTAGGAGCGGATGCTGTAGTTTTTGCGCGCGTCTGTGGCCGCATGGCTGGAATAATAGCTATAAAATTTGAACTTGATGAAGCCTGAGAAGCCCGATTTTCGAGCAAGGAGGCAACAATATTTCGGTCGTTAAAATCCCTGCAAGTCAGAGTCAGCTCGATTCAAGGATTTTTGGGAACAACCAAGTACTGTGTCCCGCCTGGCCAGCTGGATATCAAAGTTGAAAAAGAAAAAGACCGTGAACACTTCCGTTAAGCTCTTTCCATCTTTGGTGTTGAACTGGCCCATCACAAATTTAAACGTCGTGAGCTCATCATGAGACTTGGGCAGCCAAAGGGTTTCTAATATCCAAACAAATGCTAGGACCGTAGGACATTCAAGAGTCTGGCAACGACCGATCGGTTTGCGTGGGCATAAGGAACTCAGTCTCCATTCAATCATTGTCTTTTATACGAATGATGGGTTCTACAAACTTAACAAAACACCATCATGATAGTATTCCCCCTTGTCTGGAACCCAGGTGAGAACGAAAGAGCTCATCGGGTCTGTCGAGAACACCTATCGGTTCATCAACGAATTAATAGATAGACAAGATGGGACTGATCTACTTCTATTCACAGTTAGTTCCTACTACGTATCAGAGCAGTCACCAGCTCTTCCACTAATTCTTCTGCGAGAAGATGGTTCTCATGGTTCTTACGATCGAAAACTTCGAAGGAGAGCCACAGAGGATGGACTTGGAGGGTAGGCACCTTTGAATGATATCCAAAATTTAAGTCGCTATACATCAGACTGGGGGCAGACACAGACCTCTACGAAGAATCACCGTGACGATCCGCAACCCAGATGAAAGATTCACTGCTGACGCGCAGAAGGGGAGGGGTATGTGAAATAGTCTTTCCCTCGCATTGCCGAAAGTCGCAAAACAGTTGGTTAATATGGTCAAGCAAGACGTTTATCTGATTGTGGACTTTGTTTTTGCCTATATGTTGAAGGTATGACCCTGATGAGCATATGATATATGTAATTTCAGTAGTGTTCATACAAGCAATACCTGCACAGGCTGACGCCTTTTCAATGAAGAGGTCGAGTTGTTCAAAGGAGACCTGTCATTTTCCGCATCGACATCAACTTCACAAGTCCCTGCACCTGGGGTTAAGATGCATCAAAGCCTTCAAGACACTGACTGAAAGGACTAGGCTGTATACAATTCGGTCAATCATAATCTGGTCCCTACCGGGTGTCAGTTTGCGATCACTTGTTAGATGGGGTTAGATGCCACCTCCCAATGTCGATTGTATCAGCTACGTCAGACTGCTTTCAAACAGGATGACCTACTCTTGGCGCGACCTACTTTTGTTCGTCTTTCATCTATAATGCTGCATTACCCTTGTAGTTGTGGGATTGGAGCGTCCTGGATTCTATGTTTGCATGTACTGTGGTAGTATGATGTTTGTGCTCTTCTTTTTGTAATCATGATGATACACATACCACACAAAATACAAGGCATTTTGTAAACCTAGTTGAATTACTCCAGATGTCAGTGTCAATTTCTTTGGCATGGGGCGAAGTTAGATCGTCCTGAGGTGGTCAACGACTGATTCGCGGGGTATTACATATAGTGCGGCCACGAATGTCGTACAAGGTATGACAAGCCAGGGGTCTACATCAGAATAACGAATGAGTCGATGACATCGAGTTCGAGATCGGCTGGAACAAAAATGGGAAGTGGAGAGAACATGTGGTTCATCGTCGAACGCCGTCAATACCATCAACATATCGCCGGTCGAACATTTGAGTGATTCGTCTACACAGCACTTGAGCTGTGATGCAAACATGTGGACAACACGTAGAATACACACCATAGTAAAGGACTTAAACGAACGGATGGCCAGCTTCTTTGGCTCCAAACCAAACGTCCACTGTCTCAGTGTATAATCCATCCTTTGCATTGGTGATTGGAGTGTCACAATCTGTGTCAAATGGTTTGAACAGTTTGTTGTGAGTGATACTCTAGGCTGTAAACCGACCACTCGGATACCATAAATATTTTCAGCAAGACGTAGTTCCTAAGCTGTCCTGCGGGTCAGGACTGAATTCCTGTAAGCACGCGTTGTCGTCAGCTTTGCCTCGAGCTTTTATCGACAGCAGTAGGCTCGTCGACTCACCATCCATGTGTGTCATTACCAAAGAACCCGTTCTCATTCGAATATTTCGGTGTCCTTCTCTCGTAGTCCAAATGAGACATCGAGCGGCACCGTGTATTCTCTGACCGGTAATACACTAGCGATCACGCCCCGAAATACAATGCCGCGAGGCTATGATACTGACCAGGTATGAGGTGTTCTGCACTTGCCTGGCGGACGGCGCATCATCGCATGTTTGGAAGATGGATCACTCCGACTATGGGAGGACCTGGAGAGTGACACACAGATCGGTGACGGTTAGTGAGACGAGGAGGGCAAGGAAGCAACATTCACCATAAAAAATGTTGTCTCCAAACTGCAACACCGTTACGAGCGGAAACAACGATGGGAAGGTGAGGTTGTGGAATGTCAAAACGAGGCAAATGAACAAGGCACACTGATTGGATGTCGTCAGTATGCTGCAGTACAGATGGCCAGCGAGGGGTCGGCGGATCCAACGATGGGACTGCAAGGGGGTGAGATGCCAAGAGCGGAGAAACCGTCCTAGTAATCAGACTGGGAGCCAGTGGGTGACGGCGATCCCCACCCAACTAAATCAAATTGCGACCGGTGTACACAACGAAAACGTCGTAAAAACCAGCGAGATGGGCGCTGCTGCTCGCTACACTCAAACTCTCATTTGGAGGGTCGTATAGCTCGATTAGGATATTCGACACTGCCACGTGGCGGCGGATTGGACTCCTCATTTGATGTCCAGAACCACAGTCACCTTCAAATGTTCGGAAAGAAAGTCAGAGATTTGGACACTCTGGAGCCCCAAATGCCTGTCTCGGAACAGCTGCCTCCTTGCGAGTGCATCGGATGATCAAACAGTGCATCTGTGGAATCTAAACAAGGCTATTATCCCAGTCGGTCCGAGGTCCACCTTTCCAGCATGAAGACAATGCGAGATGCGGCAGCCTTTTCTGCTGATGGAAAGCTGGTAGTCACCGGTTGCGACAATAATATATACTTGCGGTAGCATCGGTCCTCGTGGCATCCTTAAACAAACGGGTTTTGACGACCTCAGGTCACTCATAATAGGTCGTCACGGTAATTGGAAGCTCGTTAAGGAATTCAGTGCGTAACGTGTTTTTAACCTTTTCAACTATTCAAGCTTCAGAAGTTCAAGGTCTATGTCATGGAATAATGCAACGTGGCGTTGAACCCAGCTCAAAAATTGCCCATCGAGGATTGTCAGGCCTTTTCGATGACGTGCCCTATGTGTCTTCAATGGTTTTGTCAACCATCTTTCGTTCTGAGATGGCAGTTGTCCGCAACACGTAGTATACATAACCGCTCCTCTGCACACGGCGGCGGCGCTCTCTCAGCCTCTTTAGGAGTCCAGCTATGCTTTTCGGCCACCGAAGTTTCACTGCTCTTCCGTCATTCTCACCCCCGGTGAAGCAACCGAACTCCAACGACAACCAAGGCAAAACATCTTCTCTCGTCATAGTCCCCTTACCTGTCGAAGCTCCAGCAGCACAGGATAGAAAGGTACAACTTTCTTCGCATACGTTTGAAATCGCCATGGTTAAATATCTTCTTTACAGCAGTTACTTCGCGGCCAGGCCAACAAACACAACAAACAGGCTTGTCAGCAGGAACAGGGTCAACACAAGCCAAGGCGTCGCCATCACTGACTCAGCCTGCCGCTCCTTTGACGTTCAGTGACAACACCCGCTCCAGGCACTAACATCACCACACGAGGTGCAGCAACCCGCACAGACTGCAGTCCCAACCTATCTCATTGTGGGCTCATCGTGTGCTGTTCCTCTGTCATACATATCGTCCACACGCCAATGGCCATCGATACTGCACTTGTGGACAACTATCTCATCTTTTCGCCGAGTTCTTTTGCACTCACATCTCTTTATCTACACTTCAAATTTCGCTACAACGTGAATTATATTTTCTTATTTTGAGGCTCGTGGGATGCATTCGCACCTTTTCATTTGCTGACCAGAATCCTTGTACACTATCGGGTTATTCGCAGCGCTCCGCCAATGTCCTCACTTACAAGACTTGTCAGTATTCATAGACAATTGGAATATCGATATCGAACTTGAGGCCAACTCATTGCACATGTTTCTCCAGAGTGTTTGAGAGTGGGTACGTTCGAGGAATCGCATAGCGGCGTACAGCATATCGATATGGCCATCGGCACCTCAAATCAATCATACCACATACGGACGAGTATAACCGAATACATGGTGCATAGTGTACACGTTGACTTCTTTTGAGCTTTAATTCATGGACTCAGCGTCCCGCAAACTGCACCTTGCGAGGCATGTTTATGTGTTACCCACTTTCTAATAGACGAGTTTGTGTACATCTTGGAACCCGGATCAGAGAAGATCCTCGAGTCCTGAATGGACATGAGAACGTGGTGAAATATTGCAAGGGAAGTGCATCAAGGAGCTAAGGCGATGCAACTGTTAGTGACAGAAGGACGAGATAATAAAACAAAGTACCGAACGAGTCCCGGGTTGAATTCAGGGATGAAGTCGATCACTTTGCCCTGGTCATCCTTGGCAAAAGAAAAGTCCATCGTGGCTAACATAGTCACGATGCCAGACCACACAGAGGCATCACCGGCATACCGCCCTAATTAAAGAAGGTATCGGTCCATCGCATCCTATATGGCCAGTGAAGTGGATCAGCTCACCTGGACATGCGCGCCGGCCTAGGCCAAAAACGTATCCCGCGGGATCATCATCCGTTAACGCGCCGTTGACATCTAGGAACCTCTCCGGCATAAAACGAGATGCATTAGGGTACCGTTTTTCATCCCGTGAAATGGCCCTGCAATGAGACATCAGTATCTTGAAACCTGTAGAGTATCTATCTGACCAGATGTTACACATGACGGTCGTGCCTGATGTATGACATTACAAATGATTTGTTTAGTACATAAGAACAACAGACCTTTCCGAATGAAATGACCATTGTATGTATCATCACTCGAGGTGGCATGTGGAACGCCTACAATATTGTCTTTAGCAAAGGCAAAATAACACAGCGATGAAGATTACCGAGGGGTAGAATGGGATGCCATCGGAAAGTCTCCCGCACAATGGATTCAACATAGGGTAGTGATGCTCGGTCCTCGAACGTAGGTAAGCGATCTCTTCCGATCACCGAGTCGATTTCCGCTTGCGCGCGTCTCTGAAAATCTGGATGCAACACCATAGCGAGAACAAAAACCATCAAAGTCGAAGAAGTCTGTGAAAAGGTTAAGCAGCACACAATATGGTTCGTGACATCTGCTGACCGTCTCATATGACTGCATAACACCAGCTGCAACTGTCCTCTTCAGGGCAATCTCGAACATCGGCTTGGACGCTTCGTCTTGCTTCTCCATCCGCTGCAAATTTTCTGTGACCATCGAAGACTGGCCGAGGAACGAGTTTCCAGCCTTTGGAGACATGCAATCAACATGTAGCTCCGAACTATATTAAAAAGCAAAGCCCACCATATGCTGCTGCGTAGATTGAAACGGCAAGTCCCTCATTTCATTCATACGATTAGTCGAAAATTGAGCAGCACGTTTGATCGAGGATCCCCAGCACCAGTCAGGTAACTTCAGCACTGCATGAGGGTGAGATATCAAATCTTTCTCATCGGCAAGAGCGAGCTCACAGAAGGGGAAGAGTTGAAGCAGGGTTGCGTTCCCTGGAGTCGTCATCTCAAGGCCAACAGCCACTGTATCTTCCAGCATTCGGACCAGGGGGTCATCACGTGCGCTGGGCTGGTAGTCATATATAACAGACATCCCAACTGATGACGAGAACCTGTGTATAAGTTGATAATTGCTTGATATTTACAAACACATTGGCTGACGTTGCAAAGTGATTATGATAATGTTGAGGGTGATCGATTAGGTTGACGATCATCTCACGAGCTCGTCTGATCTGCATCGGGCGAAGCTTGAGTGCAGAGCTAGAACGAAAAGCTTGGTGGAAGAGTCGTCGGGAAAGACGCCATTCGTCACCATAGCCTGTAAATGCAAAGGTGATCGCGGACCAGCCAAATCTGACTGCACCTCAAACTGGTTGAATCAAGTAGATAATAGAAGAACGCACTGTTCGGCTGTGGGCAAGTATGGTCGATCCGAGTAAATATCAGAACGCTTGTCCAACAAGGCTTCTGCAACGTGCTGTGAATTGATCGATATGACTTCCTGGCCTAGAAGTCGCACGAAAACCAAGTCTCCTGATATAGCGATTTGCACCACATATGCGACATGCTATCTCTACACGTACCATAGGCAGCACCCCATTCGGTATACGACAACCAAGGCTCCTTAGTGTTGATAGATAAGATGTTTCCTAAAAGTGGGAGCGGCACTGGGCCAGGAGGGCCAGGTTTGTTCTGTCGGTTGTTAGCAAACCGCCTGAGGGCTATGATGACAACAAGGGAAAGAGGTAAGATAGTTAGGATACCAGGGCGACCATCGACTAAAGGATAGTACATGTTTAGAGCACACGGATTTATTATATCCAAAGCACGTAACAGGCTTTATAAAGGATCCATGAAGAATCCATATGGAACCCAGGTCAGCGGAGGCCCCAACTTGTCGAGACAGGTTTCAAATTGTGATCTTTGTCGACATGTTGTCCTGGCCCCAGGCCCAGGTTTACCTGAAAGTAAAATTTTGCCGAGCCCAGCATATCAAATTCATCATGCCGTTACCATGCGTGATATTTTGTTCTGCCAGATTGTAATTAGACGAGTAATACAAATTTTGATCGCACGTGAAATTCGTCAGCACACGAGTCCTCGATAAGCATATAGGCACTCACTGTGATGAGCCGCACGCTTAGATATAACAGCATGACCTTACTTTCCGTATTAGTCTTCCACTCGCTCATCATTCACCCTCGAACTCATTAATAGCTTTGTAACTTTCAGCCCGGGAAAGATTTTTGGTGCAAAATTAACACCAAATACGCCAGACCATGCAATGGAAATTGCAGTGTGATATTAACTCCCGCAAAGTACACCCCTTCGAGGTACCACCTTTGAAATAGACTCACCTGTGCCATCCAAAATTGAAAGGCGAGCCCGAGAGAAGACAGCGGATGAGAAAGGTAGTAAATCAGGGGAGGTAACCGTCGGGTCACTGGCACATAAGGTAACGAAGTGATGAAGTTAACAGAGACTATGTTAAGTGAAGCTGACTTATAATTCGAGATTGTTGCGTTGATTAGTTGATGCTGTTGTGGAGCCAGGGAGTAAGTGTGAACTGACGGAGGGGGGCGGCGATGAGGACACACCACCTCCGTTGAGCTTCGGACCGTCTGGTACAAATTTCGGTTGAACCCGGGGCACGATAGTACAAGAAACCCGCTCACCTACGGACGCTGCTTTCCAAATCATTTTTGATTTGCAGTAGGAAGAAGAGTAAACTACACTTGCTGTATTTTCAGATGCATTTGAAGCAAAATAGTCCCCAGCAAAGTGTGAGATTGATGATAGTCTGCCAGCATGGCCATTTGCATTCACCGTCGGACATCAGCGCGAGACTTGGAGAATTTGTTAATATCGATATCGTACACGCCATCGTTAGGATTTAGCTTCCACTGACTAGTACTCCCTCCTGCGATGTTTTTACAATCCTATGTTCCGTGCACCTGCGAGAGCTTCAACTGCAAGTACACTGACCCACACAGTAGCGGACAGAAGCCTCAAACGGCTACCAGGCACCAGCGTGCAGGCGAGCTGCTCGGTCCCTCGGACCTTCTCACGCATAGAAAGTAGATGCTTTGGGTCAGGAGAATCGTCAGAAGACATTACCATTGCTGATAGTCTCGAGCATGGCACATGCAGGAAATGGATATCAACTCCCAGATGATGCAGGGGCTGACTTCGATGACAATCCAGACTACGGCAACGATGGTGTGGGGGACGAAGATATCGAATTGCCGGAGGGTGAAGCTAATGATAACCTCGGACTAGGAGCACAACATGATCATGAGGTGCCTCATTTTCTTGAGCTCGAAGGCCTTTTTCAAAGATGGGACGAGCCTATCCTGCTGACGACAGTGACCCGGGTGCATTCAGCTGTAACCCCGATGCTGAGATTTTCGGACTGAGTGCTGAACCTTGAAGATCCGATGAACAAGTCGGAATGCTGACTGAGGGCAACCGTAACGGCAATAATGAATTCTGCCATGGATCAATGATGACGAGCGATTGAATAACGCGACCTTTTCATTTCAAAAGTGTCGTTGGCATAATTAATTATTTCTGCCAGTTGCCAGCAGTAGGTAGTCGAAGCCTTCTTTGAAGGGTGATTCATGGTTGGGAAAAGAGCAAGAAGTACCCGCTCGGGAAAAAATGTACAAACTCGGCGCTCGCAGACCCTTCCCCTTCCGTAGAAATTTCTCACACTTTAGGGGTATACTTAATGTAGTAATTTGTGCGGTACAACATGTATTGCCAAACATCAGCATATACGACTTTTAGATTAAAAAACATCATTTTGTCTTCTGAGAGCTGGTGTTGTTACTGCACATGTCACTGCAGAACCAATCTGCCTCAGGACGCATGGCACCAGTCACCGTACCATGACGTCCACTAACAAGTGAACCTTTTATTATTGGGTCTGCCTACGAGACTAACTATACCTGATAGATCTTAGTTGCATCTCGTACGCACGCAAGCAGGCGGTTGAATTTCATGCTACATGCTAATTTGTACATCACACGTGCACCAAACAGGGAAAAGTGGTGTTGTTGAATGTTGGACGAATTAAGAGTGTGGGCCCAAGAAAGAAGGAAGATATATGTATACAAACCATTCACACGGAAAAATTTCATACTTCTGTTTGGAAAACATGCACAAGTTCCGAATGGGTACGAGAGCGTGATGAGATATTGCAAGGGAAGACCATAGGGGCGCTAAAGCGATCAAACTATTAGTGACGGGAAGATGGAATAAAATGAGAACAACCAAGTACCGAGTGGCTCCCGTCGTGAATTGGGGGGTGAATTCGATCACTTTACCCTGATCATCTTTGGCAGAAGAAATCTCCACCGTGGCCAACATAGTAACAATAGCGGACCACAGAGAGGCATCGGCAGCATATCGGCCTGATCAAAGAATGTATTAGCTCTATACAGTAATGAAATGACTCAACCCACCTGGACATCCACGCCGGCCAAAGCCGAAAATATATCCAGCGGGGTTATCGTTCGTTAGTGCGCCGCTCACGTCTAAGAACCTCTCCGGCATAAAACGAGATGCATCAGGGTACCGTTTTTCATCCCGTGAGATGCCCCTGTAATATAACGTCAGTGATTCGAAAGCTAGAGGGGATCCATCTGACCATGTATTGCACACGACAGTTGCTCCTGATAAGTGATATTACAAATGATGTACTCAATGGATAAGAATAGCAGACCTTTCGGAATGAAATAACCATCATATGTATCATCACTCATAGTGGCATGTGGAACACCTACAAAATTACTTCCAGCAAAGACAAAACAGCACAATAAGAAGATTACCAAGGGGTACAGCGGGCTGCCATCGCAAGGTTTCCCGCAGGACTGATTCGATGTAGGGTAGGGAGGCTCTGTCTTCAAATGTAGGCAAGCGATCTCCTCCAACCACTGAGTCGATCTCCGCTTGTGCACGTCTCTGGACATCTGGATACAATACCATGGCGAGAGCAAAAGTCATCAAGGTCGACGTGGTCTGTCAAGAGGTTGAGCAGCAGACAATATGACTCGGACATTTGCTGACCGTTTCATATGAACCTGCATAGACATCTATTGAAGAGCACCGTACCCCTGTAAAAAGGTGACCAACCTATAATAGCAGTAGTCGCTGCTTTCTTTAAGGCAGTCTCGAAGATGGGTTTTGATGCCTGATCTGGCTTCTCCATCCGTTGCAAATTATCTGATACCATTGAAACCTGGCCAAGGGACAAGTTTTCAGCCTTTGCAAGCACGCGATCAGCGTCTAGGAGCGAACTAGATTAAAAAAGATGCGCACCATATGGTCCTGCGCATATTGAAACGGAAGGTCCTTCATTTCAGCCATGAGATGGGTCGAAACTTGAGCATCGCGTTTGATCGCTGATCCCCAGCACCAGTCAGGTAATCTCAAAACTATATCAGAGCATGGAATGTTGAGTATTTCTGATCGATGAGAATGAGCTCACAGAAGGGAAAGATTTTAAGTAAGATTGCTCTCTCTGGGGTGATCACCTCGAGGCCAATAGCCATTGCATTTTCTACGATTCGAACCAGAGGATCATCACGAGGACTGGTTTGGTAGCCGTATGTCACTGACATCGCAACAGATGATGAGAATCTATGAACAGGTCAATAATCATTCGATATTTACAGACACATCAACTGACGTTGCGAAGTGAGAATGATAATGTTGAGGGTCATCAATTAGATTGACAATCATCTCACGAGCCCGCGTGATCTGCATTGGACGAAACTTGAGCGCGGAGTCGGGATGGAAAGTTTGGTGGAAGAGTCGTCGACAAAGACGCCATTCGTCACCATAAGCTGTGAATGCAAAGTTGACAGACCAACCAAACCTGCCTCAGGCACTCCATAATGATTAAATGGAAGAACATCAGAAGAACGCACGGCTCGAGCGTGGCTACGTATGGTCTGTCGGAATAAATGCGAGAACGCTTGTCCAGCAATGCTTCTGCAACCTGCTGAGAACTGATCACCACGACTTCCTGGTCTAGAAGTCGCACGAAAAACAAGTCTCCTGATATAATGATTTGCACCACATATGCACCGTAGTACTATCTGATCACGTACCATAAGTAGTAGCCCATTCGGTATAAGTCAACCATGGCGCCTTGGTGTCGAGAGACAAGACGTTTCCTAACAGTGGGAGTGGCACGGGGCCAGGGGGAAGTTTGTTCTGTCGGTTCCCAATGATCCTCTTGAGCAATGTGATGACAACAACAGAAGCAGGTAAGACGGTGAGGATAGCAAGGCGATGATCAACTGAAGGAAACATGGTTAGGAAAGTACGTGGGTAGATACGCAACCGAAAAAGCGGGCCTTTTAACTGCACGGAGCTAACAGAAGACTAAATAGCGGTGCAGAATAATTCGGTCCCCAACTCCCACGGGAGGAGGGACATGAAAATGTTCTCATCATCACCTCGAACAAGCTTGGATGTGCCAGAATGTTTTACTTTTTGTGCGCATATACCCGTCACGGACTGCTTCGGGCTCTAGTGTAGGAAAGTGAACTAGAAAAAGGAAACAGACTGAAGCTTGGGTAATGTGAACAGAAGACAGGCCTTCCCTGAGTTGGGCAGAGGTTACAGATAGTCTTGTCGGATTGGTCGTAAGAGACAGCTGTGGAAGTCAAGTGTATGTTGAGGAGACTCTCGCCCCAAGCCACGGGCAGGGCGAAGCTGTAGACGAACCAGGCACAACTCGATCGGGAAATACAGCAAGCCTGAAATAACTAGAGATGTTCTGCTTGTGCAACCATGCTAGAAGTTCGAGAGAGAGCCAATAGCAGAGGACAAAGTGGGAGGACCATTGGACGTCCACGAGCTTGGACAACATCGACCCGGGGTTGGGACTCTTGACGGTAGAAATGCCACTGTTCTACCAATGCTGAATGAGTGATCTGAGCAAGTAGAGACTCGGAGACCAAAGTCTCGTTGATGACACAGAATGACATCATCGTTACACGTTTTCTTTAGTTTGATGAAAGGTAGGTGTAGTTTGCAGGATCCATCGGAGTTGAAAGGTGAGACGAGATTGCGTCTCAGGTAACACGCGTCAATTCAGTGATGAATGGACTCTCCCACTGCGACAAAATTTCTTTCCAACAGAGTTGACTCCAGGTTGCGCAAGTGGCGCGAGACACAGCAAATGTCGAAGAAATTAGAAGCATCCAACTTGGATGCAAGGATCACTAGGGATCAATAGCATTTATGTGCTCTTGTAATGGGTGGTCAACCGGTCACGCGCACGACTTGCGGAGGACATTTCGAAGAAGCAGGCGCCAATAAATTTGCAATCGGCTATATATATATTCACGACTGACGTTATTTATGGCCATTGACGATCCTGCTCTCACGTTCTTGGTGCACAGCATCCCTCCATCACTTTTTCCAACACTAGTGCCCGTGAACATCGCCATCTCTTTGCATCCTCCCCATACTTAACACCAATCTTGCTCCCGCTCTTCCCTGGGATACCGCTACAGCCAGCCTTCACCTTCTTTCTTCAGTGATTTCCACTGCATCCTGGATTTCTCTTCTTCCCCTGCTTGCAATTCCACCTCGTACATAGGCACTAAATATCTTAATCTATACATATATATATGTTCCTCTCGTTGATAGTGATAATTCTATATTACATCCTCATCTCGCCCAGCAAACCAAAGACACGAGAATTTGAGTTGGTTCATGATTGATATTTCATCACATGTGGAGACAAAACAACGTTCAGCTTAAGAATATGCACTCTTACAATGTCCTATAAGGCGCACCCACCGAAATAACCTGTTCCGACACAATAAGTACCTGGAGCAAGTCGTTGAGATGAGGGCGACCGCTGCCATGCCGAACACGATGGACCGTCATTCCATTGGTAGATTTTTTGATCCTCATCACCGTCTCACTGAAGCATGAAGTCCATTAAGCTCTACGCCATCCTTGCTGCTGTTGCTGAGCTTGCTACAGCATCATTTTCAATCATAAAACATGGAACTGATAATAGACTACTTGAACAAGGTGTGTGTCGGCGCAACTCCGAGTCGAACTGAAAAAAAAACAGTGTGTCAGATAGAAGTACACTGAGAGCACTAAAATAGCATATAGGAGACTGATTGGCAGTTGGCCTGAGTCAGAACATAGAAAAGAACGATAACAAGTCGCTCATTGTATGTCTTACTCTCCCATACCCACAAGTCCTGAATGAACATGAGGACGTGGCGAAATACTGCAGGGAAATACCATAGCGGCACTAAAGCGATGAAAATATTAGTGACGGGATGAACTGACAAATAAAAACAAGTACTGAATGAATCCCGTCGTGAATTGGGGAGTGAATTCAATCACTTTGCCTTGGCTATCTTTGGCAAAAGAAAATTCCACCGTGGCCAGCATAGTAACGATAGCAGACCATATAGAGGCATCAGCAGCATGCCGTCCTGATCAATGAATGTATTGGCTCATCACATGCAATACGGCGATGAAATAACTTAACCTACCTGGACATCTACGTCGGCCAAAGCCAAACATATATTCAGCTGGGTTATCATCCGTCAGCGCACCATCGGCGTCCATGAACCTCTCCGGTATAAACACAGATGCGTTGGGGTACCGCTTTTCATCCCGTGAGATGCCCCTGCGATATAACGTCAGCATCTCGAAACCTGAAGAGAACGCACGGACCATAGGTTGCATAGAACAACCGTTCCTGATGTATGATGTTACCGACGATTCAGTCATGAGATGAAGATGGCAGACCTTTTGGAATGAAGTAACCGTCATATATATCATCACTCGAGGTGGCACGTGGTACTATAATATCATCTTCAGTGCAGGCTTGATCCCTCAGCAAAGAAGATTACCAAAAGGTCCGACAGGCTGCCATCGCAAAGTCTCCCGCAGTACTGATTCAACGTATGGTAGTGACGCCCTGTCTTCAAAGGTAGGTAAGCGATCCCGGCCAACCACTGAGTCTATCTCCGCTTGTGCGCGTTTTTGAACATTTGGGTAAAACACCATGGCGAGAGCAAAAGCCATCAAGACTGAAGTAGTCTGCAAAGAAATTCAGCAGTTGACAATATGGTTTGGACATCCGCTAACTGTCTCGTATGAACCTGAATGGGTATGTATCAACGAGAGGTATACCGCCCCTTGTAAAATGACGACGAACCTATAATACCAGTAGTAGCTGCTTTCTTTAAGGCATCCTCAAACAATGGTCTGGATATCTGTTCTTGCTTCTCGATTCTTTGAAGATTTTCTGCCACCATCGAAAACTGACCAAGGGCCAAGTTTTCGGCCTCGACGATCATACAGTTAATAGCTAAGACAGAACCGACATTGAAAGAGAGATACCCACCATATGCTGCTTCGTATATAGAAATGGCATCTCCGTCATTTCAGTCATGTGATTGGTCGAAGCTTGAGCCTCGCGTTTGATCGAGGATCCCCAACACCAGTCAGGTAACTTCAGTACTGCATCAGAGTACAGAATGTCAGCTATTTTCATGGGAGAAGAGCTGAGCTCACAGAAGGGGAAGGTTTTGAGTAAGATCGCTCTCTCTGGGGTTACCACCTGAAAGCCAATAGCTACCGCATCTTCTACGATTCGAACCAGAGGATCATCACGAGGACTGGTTTGGTAGTCATATATCACCGACATCGCGACTGATGACGAGAATCTATGAATAGGTTCATGATGATTCGATGTTAACAGACACATCGACTGACGTTGCAAAGTGAGAATGATAATGTTGAGGGTCATCGATTAGATTGACGATCATCTCATGAGCCCGCTTGATCTGCATTGGACGGAACTTGAGCGCGGATTCGGGACGGAAAGTTTGGTGAAAGAGTCTTCGGCAAAGACGCCATTCGTCACTATAGTTTGCGAATCCAAAGTTGACCGACCAACCATACCTGCCTATACTTCATAATGGTTATATGGAATAGTGTCAGAAGAACGCACGGCTTAAGTGTAGCTAGGTATGGTCGATCGCAGTAAATGCGAGCACGCTTGTCCAGCAAAGCTTCCGCAACATGCTGGGAATTGATCACCACGACTTCCTGGCCTAGAAGTCGCACGAAAAGCAAGTCTCCTGATATAATGATCTGCACCACACATGCACAACAGTACTATCTGACCACGTACCATAAGTAGCAGCCCATTCGGTATAAGTCAACCAAGGCTCCTTGGTGTTGATAGATAAGACGTTTCCTAACAGTGGGAGCGGCACTGGGCCAGGGAGAAGATGAGGCTTGTTTCGTCTATTCCTAATGAACCGCTTGAGGTATGTGATGACAACAAAGGAAGCAGGTAAGACAGCGAGAATTGCAAGGCGACTATCAACTGCAGGGGCCATGATCCGAGCAGTGGGTTAACAAACCGTATATGATGTGGCAACCATCCTTATAACCACGAAGTAGTAAAGCGCCGTCGATTATGCAACTCGGTGATCATTGTTGGATCCTATGGACGCTAGTATATATATAGATATATTGTTTCTCACTCAAATCAGATTGATTCAGATCTGCATGGGTAGTGAACGGAATGGTCTGGCGAGATCCGATAATCATAGAAGGAAAAGACGTACTGTTTATTGTGTAGCAAAATCTACGCTGACTTCGCAGACCTTGAGGAGAAAAATGGGGAGTTGAGTATAGTATGGCTGCCCGGATGAAAGCCCAAGCTATTGCCAGTACTACGACGTTGCAGCCAAGGGCAATGACCGCCGCCAACTGCTTGTAGGCGATTGTGACGATGACGAGTGCTTTCAGATAGGTTCAAGTTGGAACTCGATTATCTCGGGGCGCTTGGCGAAATTCGGTGATTAAAGTGGTGCAAGTGCCAGGCCGGTGGCATATATATCCAAAGCGCATTATAAGTTATAACTGCAAGTCTGCAACTATGTAGCAGCTGTGCCTGGCGTGCTGAAGGAGCTGACAAGGATGAATTCAGTATGGCGGGCCTTACGATAGCATTTAATACCTTGAAGGGCCAACTTGGCACATGCCATAAGTTATTGTTGCATAAGTTTTATAAGGGCCCTTTTGACAGCCTTACTGTAGTCCGGCATCTTTGGCGGTTATTTCCAAACTCCGACGTGCATACGCGTCGTTCGAACATTTGCAGCAGTTTCATAGCGTTTATAATGTCGGTCGACCTCACTAGTACTAGTGGCCGAACCATCCTTGCCTTCAAGTCTGGTCGTGCTTTTCGACGCGCTGGAACCAACTTTGTCGATGCCTCCCCCACCAAAGGCGCGATTGTCTTGACCAATGAGGAAGGTCTCATACACTTCATGTGGAAAGACCGAATGTCAGGGGAAGTGGGCGAGGATTTAATATTGTTTCCTGGTGATGCAAAGTTGGAAAAGGTGCCCCAAAGTAGTTGGGGCAGGACCTATGTCCTTAAATTCGAGAGCTCCGATCAAAAACATTTCGTATGTATCTCACTGCAACCTGTTGGTGTTTCATTGACTAACTTCGCTTCCTCTGTGTCAGTTCTGGCTACAGGTGTGTTTATTCCACTAAATTGGTTTGATATATATTTAATGGTCTTGCAGGATTCTTCAACACGCCGCGATGAAGAATTCGTGACGAATCTAAACAGAACGTTAGCTGATCCCAATATTATCGCTATTTGGGACGCGCGCAACGTTTATCCAGCTTCGGAAGCCTCTACATCTGCTACTGGTGCATCCATCTCTCCACCCTCAACTGTGTAGGTCATCCTTTCACCTGCAGGATAGTGGGCGAATTCATATGTACATTTTGATACATAGACAGCCAATCGTTCCAGCGACTAGTAATCCCACGCCAGCGAGTACTACCCCAGAACAACTCGCGCAACTTCGTGGAATTGTTAGCTCTATGACTGGCTTCACGAGTGAAGATGGTATCCGCATTTTCTCAATCAGACTCCATCATCGTTAACAAAATCCACAGAACTTTGGTTGACAGACGTCTTGTCCTCACAAAATTTGCTTCAACTTTTCCAATCACACTCTGAACTCCTCCCATCACTCTTCCCTCATCTTCCACCCGAACTTATCCCATCGTCAGACGCTACGCCGCAACAGGCAGTAGAAATATTACAGCGCACGACTAATTCTCCACCTTTCCGCTTGGCTGTGGCACAGCTTGATCGAGCGCTTCGCACGGGTGCCCTTGGCGAATTTGTGAGGAGCCTCGGTCTTCCGGAGAGTGCTGCGATGGGTGTTGGCGCGTTCCTAGCTGCTATAGCCGAACAAGCAAGACAGGAAGGCGGTACTGAAGAGCGGATGGAAGAGGATTAGGGAGTGTGAGTGTCGATTGGACTGTTTTTTTAGTTACCGCTGTTATTCCAAGCGCACTGAAATTCCTTAGTATTGGTGTGCAAGCTTATACATTTGCCGTTTTGTTCATTGCGTGCGACTTCTTTGCAGGAAAGAACAATGCAGCGGAGTGTACACATGTTTTCACGAGCTAAATTCATGCACGGGAGCTAAATGTTCCCTGTTACAATAGACGATTACCGATAGTGATGATTGCTCTGGGGCAAGATGTCCAGTCCCAGAGTACGTGGCGTGAAGCACGGGCCGATTCACTAGATAGCTTCTTCGATGTGTCTTTTCTCATCCAGTAACATACCGCTGAATGTGATCTACATGAGCGACATGCAGTTTGTGGTCATTTTTTTGCGCTGTTGTCCTTCAAACTGAAAACTGCAACTGCTAGCTCTTCATCTACACAGCCCTCTGTGCAGGTTATCTTTCCCTCTTAGATATCCGAGATCACTTGCGTCAGACACCGATATCATGCAGACTCGACAGCAGCCCATATCATCAGGGCCGGATTCACCGGCCGTATGCGACACCGGAGCGGCTGGTATAGCTGGGTTGTGAATTATGTCAAATTCTCTGAGAAACCAATTACAACGACTCGGAGGGTCTGCCTCGACAGCACGTTCATGCCAACATGTGTCTTACAATCGCACTTGGGGTCACCAGCGAGGTCACCACACCAGCATTTTGAAAATGAGCAATGTTGGTTTGCTTCATTTATAGCACCAGTCGAAGTGTACCGTTTCTTCTTAGTGACCTTATTTCTCGTACTTCGCATAAAATCGTTAATGTCGTGATCATGGATGACTCGAAATTTCAAGTCGTACATACCACGTGCGGAAAACGGAGCTAACGAAAAGGGTCAAACAAGGGGTTGTGAAATGTTGCACAGATGGGCGGTGTGGGCCCAAGAAAGGAAATATATGTATACAGTCCATTCACCTGATAACATTTCATACTTCTGTTCGGAAAACATTCACAAGTTCCGAATGGGCACGAGAGCGTGATGAGATATTGCAAGGGAAGATCATAGGGGAGCTGAAGCGATCAAACTGTTAGTGACGGGAAGATGGAATGATACGAGAAAAACCAAGTACCGAGTGAGTCCTGTCGTGAATTGAGGGGTGAATTCGATCACTTTGCCCTGATCATCTTTGGCAGAAGAAAACTCCACCGTGGCTAACATAGTAACAATAGCGGACCATACAGAGGCATCAGCAGTATATCGGCCTGATCAAAGAATGAAGCAGCTCTATACGGTGATGAAATAACTCAACTCACCTGGACATATACGCCGACCAAAGCCGAAAATATATCCAGCAGGGTTATCATCTGTTAACGCGCCGTTGACGTCTAAGAACCTTTCCGGTGTAAAACGAGATGCATCAGGGTACCGCTTTTCATCTCGTGTAATGCCCCTGCAATATAACATTAGTATTTTGAAAGCTAGAGAGGATCTATCTGACCATGCATTGCACATGACGATTGTTCCTGATGTACGATATTTCAAATGATGTACTCGATGAATAAGAACAGCAGACCTTTCGGAATGAAATAACCATTATATATATCATCGCTCACGCTGGCATGTGCAACACCTACAAATTAACCTTCAGCAAAGCTAAAATAGCACAGCAAGGGGTTACCAAGGGGTCCGATAGGCTGCCATCGCAAAGTCTCCCGCAAGACTGATTCGATATATGGTAGTGACGCTCTGTCTTCAAAGGTGGGTAAGCGATCCCGGCCAACCACTGAGTCGATCTCCGCTTGTGCGCGTTTCTGAACATCTGGATGTAATACCATGGCGAGAGAAAAAGTCATCAAGATCGACGTGGTCTGTGAAAGGGGTTAAGCAGCAGACAATGTGAGTCGGACATCTGCTCACTGTCTCGTATGCACCTGCGTAAACATCTATTAAGAAGCACCGTATTCCCTGTAAAAGGTGACCAACCTATAATAGCAGTAGTCGCTGCTTTCTTTAAGGCAGTCTTGAACATGGGTTTTGATGCCTGATCTATCTTCTCCATTCGTTGCAAATTGTCTGATACCATTGAAACCTGGTCGAGGGACAAATTTTCGGCCTTAGCGAGCACATGATCAACATCTAGGACCGAACTAGATTAAAAAAGATGCCCACCATATGGTCCTGCGCATATTGGAACGGCACGTCAGTTGTTTCTCTCATGTAATTGGCCGAAGTTCGGGCATCGCGTTTGATTGAGGATCCCCAACACCAGTCAGGTAACTTCAGTACTGCGTGATGGTACAGAATGTCAACTCTTTCCACGAGAAAGAATGCTGAGCTTACAAAAGGGGAAAGCCTTCAGTAGAGCTGCTCTCTCCGGGGTTACCACTGCAAGGCCAATAGCCAGTGCATTTTCTAAGATTCGAACCAGAGGATCATCACGAGGATTGGTTTGGTAGCCGTAGGTCACTGACATTGCAACAGATGACGAGAACCTATGGACAGGTTAATGAAAATTCGATGTTTACAAACACATCGACTGACGTTGCAAAGTGAGAATGGTAATGGTGAGGGTCATCGATGAGATTGACGATCATCTCACGAGCCTGCTTGATTTGCATTGGACGAAATTTGAGCGCAGAGTCGGGACGGAAAGTTTGGTGGATGACTCGTCGGCAAAGACGCCATTCGTCACCATAGCCTGTGAATGCAAAGACGACCGACCAACCAAATCTGTCTGTACTCCATAATGACTGAATGGAAGAGTTTTATGTGAACGCACGGCTCGACTGTGGCTAAATATGGGCGATCAGAGTAAATGCGAGCACGCTTGTCCATTAAGGCTTCTGCAACGTGCTGAGAACTGATCACTACGACATCCTGGTCCAGAAGTCGCACGAAAAATAAATCTCCTGATATAATTATCTGCACCACATATGCACCGTAGACTATCTGACCACATACCATAAGCAGCAGCCCATTCGGTATAAGTCAACCATGGCGCCTTGGCGTCGAGAGACAAGACGTTTCCTAACAGTGGAAGCGGTACGGGTCCGGGGGGAAGCTTGTTCTGTCTGTTCCTAATGAACCTCTTGAGGGATGTGATAACAACAACAGAAGCAGGTAAGACGGCGAGGATAGCAAGGCGACCATCAACAGAAGGAAACATGGTTAGAGCGGTGGGTGGGCAGACGCAAAGCTTTATAACTGCACGGAGAACTGCTTATCACACCCTGTACGTGGTGTTCAACTCCCACGTCAGCGGGAGGAGGGCTTTGTCCAACGTAAAAAGGTTACCATCACTAAAAATTGGTAGAACGTTTTGCTTGTTTCCGCATACACCCGTCGTGCATTGCTTCAAGCTCTAGTGTGGGTAAGTGAACTGGAGGGAAGGCCACGGAGTGAAGCTTAGGTGATGCCAAGACAGGCCTTCCACAAGTTATGCGAAGGTTACAAATAGTCTTATCGGATTGACCATAAAAGAGATCAGGTGTATGTCGAGGGAGGGACAGGGACTCCCGCCCCGAGCCGTGTGCAAGACCGTCAAAGGCACAACTAGACTGGAAAATAAGGCAAAGCAAGCCTGAAATAACTAGAAAAAATTTGCATGCAACCTTGTTAGAAGTTCGAGAGTGCCAATAGCGGAGGAAAGAATGGGAGGACCAATATCCAAAAGCTTGAAAGACATCGGGTGGGACTCCTGACAGTAGTAGACATGCCATTGTTCCATCAATTAATGCTAAATGAGTGACCTGGGCAAGTGGAGAGACCAAAACTGGTCTCGTTGATGACACAGATGACATAATGACATCTTCGTTGCGCGTTTTTATTACTTTGGTGGAAGTTAAGTGTAGTTTGCGCGATCCATTGGAGTTAAGAAGTAGCGAGATTGCGTCTGCAGGCAACATGTGTCAATGTTGCGATGGATGAACTCTCCCACTGCGATAAAAATTCTCCCAAACAGAGTCGACCCTAAGTTGCACAAGTGGCGGGCGTGAGACAGCAGATATTGCAAGGATTGGAAGCATCTAACTTGAATGCAAGGATCAGAGCATAGCTCTTGTGGGTGGTCACGCGGCACGAGTCGCGGGGAACGTTTCGAAGAAGCAGGCACTAATTTAGATTTGCGATTCGACACCTGATCATGTACACCGCCAATTGAAAAAAGCATAGAATCTATGCTTTTTTTTGGCAATATAGTAACTATACGTACACAATGCCGATACCATAATTTTCGCTGTATACACATGCTATACATTTTCTCAGTATACAAGCTATATCTGAAACTGTGGCGCAGACCTTGGCAAACAGGTATATACATGAAAAGCATAAAAATTAGCAGGATTCGAACTCTCAGCTCCGCAACTAGCTTCGTTTGTGCAACACTTTTATGATGGTGCACAAACCATTGAGCCATCAGACCATTAAAATGCCCTCTAAGGAATAATATTTAGCAAGCTACCACGGACTTGAAGAAAATTTCATAGATTGCAGCTGTAGGGCCCTCTGCTCACAGCACAACAGCTACTATGCAGTACTAATGTTATTATGCTAAAGCTTGCCACATTATTCATATATTTAGTACTATGTCCGTCTTAGTGAATATTACCGTTGGTGAAGGTGTAGGCAGTTGGTATGAAGACGTTGGAAGCCGTGGGATAACTCAATATATAGATTCTATATCTGGGTGGCATCCACTCTATACAGGACCAGTGATTGTAATGTAATTATATCCTCTTACCTCACCATTGTCCCAGAAGATATACAGAAATTAAAAAATTATCAGTACGTACCAGACCCTGTATATGTATAGGTTTTATATCGATACTACACATCCAAATTATTTTTCATCAAATATTCAACGTGTGAAATTGACGATTGGCAGTGTAAGTCATGGTGAGATATAATGTTTACATAATAGAGCCTTTTTGCTAAGTGACTTTTGCATTTTTCAAGATGTGAAATGGCGCTCCACTTCATGTAGTGTAAGTATCATGAATGTCAGAGATCTGACCAGTCTGGGGCTAGTGGTAGACTTGTGACTAGCCCGTCTATGAGGCAAGCCATCAATAGATGGACTGGTAAATCTGGGTTTGAATTTGGATGTCGAGCGGATTCTCACAGTAACATGACGTATAAGCCTTTTCAGGCATAACAAAACCACATGAGCTTGTTGCTAAGCCCTTGCAAAGAGTCGCTAAGTTCTTGTCTGTGATTGACTTCAACAATGGAACATTTGAGTGTGTTAGCTGCCAGGCAGCATTAGTGCTGCCGTGGTCTGGTTCAGAACCACAGTTTGAACCGGACTTTTGGTCTGGGTTCTGGTGTCAGCCCGAACTAGACCGGAAATCAGTTCTTGGTTCTAGGTCCTGCCAAACTGTTCTATTTTG